AAAAAAAAAAAAAAAAAAAAATTAAAAATTTAAATCACCAGTTGGAGATGCGGGGCATCGATCCCCGTACCTCTCACATGCTAAGCGAGCGCTCTACCATCTGAGCTACATCCCCTTGTGGGCATGTGGGCGCATTTACAGCACATAACGAAAATCACAACTATCGCAGAGCATAAGACGCAGTGAGAGTGAGAGCGAGAGCGGCGATTCCAATAATATTCGATCGATGGTATTGCTGCTATGCTATGGCTATTAACAGTTTCGAAATTTTATTTTTGGGCTCGTGGGCGCGCTCTCTTCTCACACGCTCTCACTCTCTGGCTTGCGATATACAGTAATAATGCTTCCTTAAAGCCAGCAGCTGCTTATAATTTACTTATTAATTGGTCATGTAATTTGCAATTTATGCTTTATGTTCACGTGTGTGTGTGTATGAGTAGGAAGGAGAGAGGAGTATGTTGAGTGTAGTAGCTACTTTGTTGTCGTGCTCAATTACTGCTAATTAGCAGCGCTGTTATTGCTGATTAAATATACACAGAGCGGCCGATAGAGAGTGTGAGAGCGCGCGTGTAGCTGTAATTGTAGGCAAAGCTAGCCAATCTCGCGTGCGCTCCCTCTCTCTTTCTCTCTCTACTTGTCGTCTCTTAATATCAGTTGCAAAATTAGGTCACAACACGCTGTTGATAATTATGATGATGAACAACGTGTCGAACGTGTTTGTTGTTGCTATCTGTCAGTTGCTAGTAGAATTGCAGCAGCAGCGGCACCAATAGCAGCAGCAGCAGCACCAATAGCAGCAGCAGCTGTTGCCCATTTACTTTCAATATGCGTTTCAGTTTTCTTTTTATCTTTGTTGCTTTTGTGCTTGCTTCTAAATTGGCAACGATTTGGGTCACAGTTGCCAGTCGTCTTGGCCGTTCCTGTGACGTCAGAGCATCGCCACGCCTCTGCCTTAATATTAACGAGAAATTTCTATAGCGAACAGCAGGCGGCTAATTTAAAGAGTATTTCAAGAAATTCATAAGTAGGTGGCTCTGTGGTCTGGGATAACCGCAGCAGCTGTTTGATTTATATGCAACTGCTTTTGTTTTGTTCACTCTCTATCGCCATCTCTCTCGCTCTCTGTCTCTTTTTGTTTTATCAGTAGCGAATTATTGCAACAGCTGCGTTCCGCAAAGCTGAAACTCTTATATTAATCGAGCTGGCCAGCTGGACAACCAATTTCCGTCACACACAAAAAAAAAAAAAAATCCAAACCAAAAACCCTGTGCTAAAACTTCTGCTTCATTAGCAGCATTTGTGTGTGAGCAGGGGAAGGGGTGAGATAGGGGTAGATAGGTGGTAAGGGGCTTGATGCTACAAGCAGTTTGGTTTGTGGCTTTGATAATTTATGGTTCACCTTATATAACGAAAAACTCTTTGGCCTACATACTTGGCGTATGCGTAATGTCGTTAAATAATGTGCCACATGCCACACACCAGCACGCACACATACACCAACACCAACACGAACGCAGTGACAACTCACGTGATTAATCGCATTACTAATCAATACAAATGTCACTCAATTGCTGACATTTGAGATTTGTGGCCAGTTTTGTTGTCTCTTTGGTCTCGCATTACGCATACGCACAGTAGTACCCAAACAGCTGCCGCTGCTGCCGCTGCCGCTGCTGCTGCTGTCCATTGTCAATTAAGTGGCGTGTAAATTGACTGAACCTGCAATGAGAAAAACAACAGACGTGAAATAGTATAAGGAAAACTTCAAATGCAGACACGTTTGCATAGATTTCGCTAGCGATTTTTGCACATTTTTCACATTGTTTGCCCACGAGCTGTTGGCAACATTCATGCAGTTGTTGCTATTGTTGTTGTTGGCCTTTATCGCCTGACAACTTTTGTGCGCGTTGTTTGGCGTTGACTGTAGTCAGCTGTTGTCATTCGGTATTCAGCTGTCTGGTTGTTTGTTTTTCTATTTTGTTTTTGTTTTTTTTTTTTAATCGCTTTTCATTATCAGAAAAACCTTTTCTTTGTTTAACTGATATCCGGGCTGGCAAGTGGGCGTGTTAGCGTGTGGGTAGGCAGTGATGCTAATTAATGTCGCGTGTTTTCTTTTTGTGATGCAATCAAGTCACTAAATACGTCACGATGCCATCGGGAATCGGGTCAAACCCGCGCGGCTTAACTACAAAACAACCACCCTTAGGCGAAAGGTTAGAGCGTGTAGGGGTGGATGGGGGTTAGCGGCGGAAACGCGTTGCCGTTTCCGTTTTGATTACACTTGATGGCCTTGTTGGCCATTTCCAGGCATTTTTGGTGGGCTCTCAGCTTTTACCTTTCACGGGAAATTGTTTGCAAGCGTGAAAAGTGGCCACAAATAAATTGGAGCTGAGCTATTTAGTCGAAATGTGCTCAATATATATACGTTATATATAGTATGTCTGTATATGTTTCTAAATTTATATATATTCACGTAGTCCAAGTTTTTATTATGCTGGTCCTTACGCAATTACAATTTGTGAGCTGTCGTTAATTTCATTTCTTTTCATTCACTTTGACTTGGTCTTTCTCCTTATCTCTCTCTCTCTCTCTCTCTGTCTTCGCCCTGCTCTGTTTTGCTATCACTCATAAATCAACATAATTGGCTCTAAAAGCAAGCTAAGTAAACTTAAATATAGCCAAATACTGCTAAATATGTGCACACATCATAAAAAGTGAGTGTGCATGAGGGCCTCAGTCGGGTGGACACGACTCTGAGATACCCTAAGCTTAGTCAGGGTAAAAA